AAAGTTTCAAAAGATAAAAGAAGCTTCTATAATAAGTGAGGTTTTATGTCCTTTAGGGCCAACCCAAGGCAAGCAGCTTGGGGATCTCTTGCTTATGTTTAGGAATCTTTGCCTCCCAGAATCCAGGCAGCATAAAGAAAATGCCTTAACAGGCATTTTTATTCCCTTCCCCGAGGGTTCAAGCTGTGTTGGGAGGAGGGCTTGTGCACATACCCTCTTCAGGGGGGCAGGGAAGCAATCAACAAAGTCTTTTGTCCACAATGGCATGTCTGACAGTAGACCTTCTCTTGCTGGGGAGGAGATAACACCTTTTGTGGTTAACTGGCATTTCACACTTGGTAATGCTTCTTCCCTGACTGTGGAGGGATTTACAGTTTTAGCAAACATTTTAAACATTACCTTAGAACAGGGATCAGCAACCTTTGGCATGCAGCCCATCAGGGAAATCCGCTGGCAGGCCAGGACGGTTTCTTTATCTGCAGCGTCCACAGGTTCGGCTGAATGCAGCTCCCATTGGCCGTGGTTCGCCGCTCCAGGCCAATGAGGACTGCGGGAAGCAGTGGCCAGCACATCCCTCGGCCTGTTACAGATTTCCCTGATGGGCCGCGTGCCAAAGGTTGTCGATCTCTGCCTTAGAACATGGGATACAGATACTAAAGGTAGAATTAACGGATGCAGCATCCTACAAGCATTCCATAAAGTCTAAACACATTCTTGTAACTCTAATATCTATTTTAACAACACTAACACACAGGTGAGTGAGACTGGCTTCCAGCTGTGCATTTGTCAGTGTTCAGTGAGGCCTGGGACCTTGGCATGATTTGGCACCAGGTACATCCTGTAGGCACTAGTTCTGCACCAAAGAAACTATTCCAGTCAGAAAGACATTCAGCTGGAAAGAATAAATGATACTGATGATACGCTCACCTTTGAAAGAGAACTGTATCACACCCAACCACAAGCATTTGTCCAAGATCTAACTGCCTCTGCATTCATTTAAATAGACCTTGCAAGATTACTGTACCAGGAATAGTGCTATCTACTGATTCCCAATAATATTACACTAACATGTACAAATGAGTTACATTTTGAGCCTGTGCCTTTTAGGTTTTAGACACTTTGGGCCAGAAGCACAGCTGGTATAAATTGACACCGCTCCAATTGAAAGCAATGGAACTAGGCCAATTTACACCATCTTAGGATTTGGCCCTTCATGTATAGTGGTACCATGAGTTAAGATTATTCAAAAATGACAGTATACTACATTGTACTTGAACAAGATTTCAATAAAGCCCAGCTAAAACATCCTTTTTACAGGATTAATACAAATGTCAGTTTCATTTGTACCTGTCTAATTGTGCCACTCAATTTTCATAAGGCAACTTGCCAAAACAACTATTCACTTTTTAGTCATGACCTGAAATGGTATTCCCTCAAATATAACCTCCCACACCATAAGGGCCAGGTCTGAAAAAAGCATAAACAGAGAATTTTTAAGACTGAATTTCCAGAGGACTCAACCCAACCTAATATGGATGCCTAAGTCTGGGCAGCCAAAAAATTTGGCCTACACATACAAAACAGCATTTACACACACAAATTAAAAATCTGCTATTTAATGTGCATGCACAAGTTGATTTGTGTACATTCAAAGGCAGACACAAAAATTAGCAGAAGATATTGAAAATTTAGCCCTTAAGGCATTAGAAAACAGGAAAACATTATTTTTATTATTATTATTTAAGTTGTGCTGTGTTGAATCTTCATTTTCCTTGTGATATATGAGGAAAAATGCTGTAGTTGTTTCAGAATTTTCATAAACATCACATTTGACGCTGCCAAGTTGGCTTCAGTATTGAATCACTGACATAAACCATGTACAGTTTCCTGTGCTTCACCATTGACATTATCCCTTAGGGAGCCTATGGCATTTCATTCTGAGGATTTAGATGGCAGTGTGTGTTCACTTTTTGCCCAGGGGTGCCTAAGTTTGAGTCCCAACATAGGCATCAAAAGCATCATATAATTGAGCAAGACTGTCAGTCTTTGTTGAACAGTCTGGGGGTCATAAGCAGCATTGGCAATAAATAGCAGGATTGAAGTGCATGACCATTAAGTAAGGCATCTTGCACAGTTCCTGCCCATGTTACATTTAGCTGGGCACTAAATTAACTCTCAATTTCTTTTAAGATGTGTATCACAACTTTGTATTTTCTAATTGTCTAAGGGCTGCTTATTTTGTCTCTCTTTAAAATTGAAATGGGTTTAACTGCAGAGTAAGAGCAGCTATTAAATGATCAGCAATGTGATTTGAGGACAATATTTTTGTTAAAAGCTTTTGATGAGTTGGCTTTGACAATGTTGCTTACTGCATGTCTGCCAAAAACGTATTTCTCTTATTTATATGTTTATTCTCTATGGGTCTGTTTGGTTTTTTTTTAAAGAGAATCTGTGAACCCACAGTTACCATTAACTTCAGCTAAAGATTTGAGCATTCAACACTTCTGAAATTCAGTCCCATTATATCTGTGTCTGTATTTACAGACAGTATGCCTATATTTTCATCAAAAAGTGGAATTGATCATGATGGATTGGGAAATAATTTGAGTATAGGGTGACCAGACAGCAAGTGTGAAAAATCGGGACGGAGGTGGAGGGGGGTAATAGGATCCTATATAAGAAAAAGAGCCAAAAATCGGGACTGTCCCTATAAAATCGGGACATCTGGTCTGGTCGCCCTATTTGAGTATTTGGCAGAGGGCAATTCAGACTTCCTGATCAGAGTGTTCACCCACCTATTCATCATTTCATATCTGCATCTTGCAAGGAGGCTGCATCCTTTTTTCGCAGATATAGACCTTTTGGTTGTGATCCTTGCTCGTGTCAGCTCAGGATTAGAATACTACAGTGCTCTCTGCATGCGGCTAAACTTTTAAATCCAATTGCAGTCTGAAGTTAGTGTGCCACTAGTAATTCAGTGGGCCACTTCTTTAGCAAAATTCTTGCTCTAAGTGCATGACTCTTGTGCTCCATAGCTGGGGCTGGTTGTGCCTTGATTCCAAAGTGGAATTCAAGGTATTATTTTTGATCCATGACATTGAAATGGCCTACCTGATGGACTAGAACTTCCCCCTGTATCACACTGGTGATCAGCAGTGGCACTCTTAATATAGATGAAAGGGAGCAGCTGGTCCCTTGGTTTTGGAATTCACAGCCCCCATACCTTGGTTCAAACCATCTTGAATTTAGTGATCTTCTGAGTATGCTGCAAAGACCAACAGTTTGAGTGGGCCCTTGCGGGAGGACTGAGCTGGATTGTGGTATGGCCTTTTTCTCTGAGTAATGATTATATATTACGGGGGAGGAATGGCTGTTGTTTTGTTTCATGATGGCTTTATTATTTGAGTTGGAAAGGGTATACAGAGCTTGGCAGGTACCATAAACTAGTATTTCTTTATGTCCGTTCACTGTATATATCCTCATCACTAAAGCTATTTACATCCAATATAGGGTTTACACTGATATCTCCCAGCATCTCATGGCTTGTTTGGCAGATAGCCAGAAAAGATGTCATTTTCACTAGTATAAGGGGTCTTGAGCCTATTTCACTTTATAATTGGCTCCATATTTATATCCAGATCACACCCTATCACTCTGTAACCCACACATCATCTGACTTTCTACAGAGATCTACTGCTACACTGTGCTAAGTTTTCCAGAACAATATCCTACTTACTGCCCTCATTCATTATGTTGGCTTTCTGGAGGGTACAGAGGCAAGAGAATAATGTTGTTTCAGCCTGTGTAACAAAAGGACTTCTTTCCCCTTTTTCATAACTGGTAGAAGTCCAAGAATGCCAGATATTTTCTGCCTTGCCCTTTAAATCCTGGCTGTTCTCGATTACTGGATCCTATTTTAGGGTCTATGAATAGGGCCAAAACTGATCCAGGCAAGAGGGACTGCGTACCTGAGCAGCAACCCCAATGGTTTCAGAGGGACTTGTGAGGATGTAAAGACTCGGCCTCTTGGAGCAGATTACATAATTAGGGTCTCATTATAGAAGGAAAAAGTAATTTTATTGAGGTAGTTTTTTGCTTTTTGTCCTCATAAGAGCAGAATATTTTAAATGATGGTATTGTATTGTAACTTTACATTTTAAAAATATATATATATATATATTTTTTTTTCAGGGAAGTGGCATCAAGGTGTGAACTGTGAATCCCGCAACGATTACTGTCATCACCCTTTAAACCATGGGTTTGATTATTTTTATGGCATGCCGTTTAGTCTAATGAATGACTGTCAAATAACACAACTTCCAGAGAAGGACAGAGTCTTGAGAACCAAATTCTGGCTTTACACTCAGACAATTGGCCTTGCTGTACTCACACTTGCAATAGCCAGACTTACTGGCTTGGTCTCAGTCACCTGGAAAATAATCACCTGCTTTGCTTTGTTTGGTTTTTTGTTCTTTGCATCCTGGTTCTCGAGTTATGGATTCATAAGATATTGGGACTGCATTATGATGAAAAACCATGAAATTACTGAACAGCCAATGGTGGTAGAGAGAACGACATCCCTTATACTGAGGGAGGCCATTTCTTTTATTGAAAGGTAAAATACATTTCATTTTGACCATATTTGTTTTAGTTCTTGAATATCTCACTACATTGTTTAATTGATTTATCAATCTAATTGATTGATCGATTAGTTAATTTTTAAATAATGCTTTCAAATGTAAAGCCCCCTCTATATAATTATTATCTTGACTCCAAAAGTTAAAGTCATAGACATAGTGTTTAAGGCCAGAGAGCACCACCAAATGACTTTGTCTGACCTCCTGCATATCATAGGCCACTAACCACCACCCCCACACCAAACTAACAACCAATGTTAGATCAAAGTATTACAGTCCTTGGAAGTCTAAACTTTTGTGTGGCACAGGCACAAAACAGGAGGGAGTGAGGTGTACCAATTCCTGAGGTTCCTGCAATGACAGTGAATTGATTTAATGAGGTTTACCAAGATTATTCTAGCAAGTGACCTGTGCCCCTTGCTTCAGAGGAAGGTGAAAACTCTGAAGGTTTGCCAGTCTGACCTGAGGGAAAAATCCTTCCTGACCCAACATATGGCAATCACTGAGATCCATGAGCAAGACTCCTCAGCCAAGCACCTGAAATAAAAATATTCTCAGTACCATCTCAAATCACCTGCCCACCCCATTCAGTGTCCCATCTCTAGTCAGGGCTATCTCTGAGGTTTCAGAGGAAGGAGACAAAATATACACACACACTGGGGTGGGAGCGGGGGAGATTC